TGTTGATAATGATTGTTGTGGAGATGGAGGTGAAACGAAGATGCCGAGGAATAACGACTTGACCACTTGTGGGGCGTAAATGATTTGCTACCGCTTCTTCTGTTATCTCCTGCACCGTCCTCGTCTTCCCTTCCTTTCTGCACGCAATTTCCCATCGATTGTTAAGATGATAATAGGCAATGGTGATGAGGTTTGGATCGAGTGAAATAGTCGAATTGACTCTGTTTAAGAGAATTTTTTTTTTTTTTTTTTTTCTTTACCAAAGTAAAAGGGAAAAGTAAGGTCGGTTAGAAGAAGAAGAGGAAGAAGAAAAAAAAAGGATTGTTCAGTATTTATCTATTTATTTATTCACGGTATTATTATTATATATATATATATAGTAGTAAATAAAGTAAAAAAATTGTATTATTGTATAGTCGGAGTGAAGTGACGATCCTGTCCACACAATGCTTTACGTTAGAAATGGACACACCATTAACCTCCATATCTTCAGATTACCTGAACAACAACATTAAAAATCAAATTCAATTTGTACCCTTTATTTTCATCGGATGATATGTGTAATATAAAACCTGCATACAGTATTTTTTTTCAGATTCGTGGCCTAGTAAAAACACTTTCCTTAATAGGAGTCAGGAATCATGTGACAAATTTTCCTATATTTGAAATCTTGATTAAGGTGATGAAGTAGATGAAGAGGGGTAGTGGTCGTGGGAATGCAATTAATAAAGGAAATTCAGTCTTTCACCAGGGTGAGATGCGAAAGAAGATGTGGAAGAGATGGGTGAGTTCATTTCGAGCACGTGAATGGAGATATCACCATGTTTGGCAAATTTGAAGAAAAACTCCGAACACACCACCGTAAATACATGAGAGGAAAAATCGCATTCGCGTCTTGGCATCGTTGTTATTGAAAAAAAAAATGACACAGTCAAGAGTACAAAATATATGCGATCAAAATTACTGAAACATGTGACGGAGAAACTCTGAAATTGGACACGCAAGCCTCAAAGAATACCAATCAACCTAAAACTGGAATCATTATCCAAGTCAAAGCTTAGCTGCACAAAGCTAGAATTGTTTCAAAGGCATCATTTAATTAATATATTGTATATACAGTATAGTGTAAAAGATTACGAGAATAAAATCCTTAAAATAATTTTATGGTTGACCGTATTGACGAGTGGAAATTAGAACTCTCGGATCTTGATGACAGAGAAACTTTATGTTTAAGGCGAATTCAAAACTCATAATTCCATTCCTGGCAACGCATGCCGGAGCGGGTTGAAATAATTGTGATATCAACCAATGACTTTTTTCGTGATTGAGGAATATATGACACTCAATGATTATGCAGTGTCACTGGATCTTCCCTTTGGTGAGTGATTACGGTTCAAATTTAAATTCCAACACACCACACGAAAGGCAATTAGTGTTCACCAAACTTTAAATTCTTTATTCTCACTCACTCACCTACTCCGACAACTTTGAATTTCGAGATTGCACACGATAAATCTTATTTGTTACATTAACAATTGTCAAAAATGTACCGGTAATAATACACAGTCACACATTGAAACTTAAATAGCAAATTTCAGCTGAGAAAAAACGGAGGTGGCACATAGGCACATAGGCACATAGACACATAGGAACTCAATAATTGAGAATTAAATAGGATCTTGCATGTCTAGGACAATACACAATATGCGACCGTCAAATTCTTACTTCTTACGGTGACTCCATCATGGGTTGCTCTTTTACATTGGAATGCGATGCCAACAATGGTGCGTAGCAATGCACTCACGCACAAATTAAGTCGGATAAAAATACGCATATCATTCCGTAAATGGGATATGAGAAGAATGGTGGGTTAAATAAAACACTTACCGATGCAATGAAAGTCCATACACGTCGAGGTATTAAAAATAACCTTTTTTAAGAAAAAAGTAAAAATAAATATTTTGATGGTCTGCTATGTACTGTACAATACATGTGACTGTATATACAGTGCAAGTTGCCTATGCATATCACCACACCACTACGCGTTTTACCAAGTACAGTAGACCTTCGCGAATTTTCGGTCATGTAAATAAACTTGGATCATTTCTTCTTATGCTCACTCTCTACACGGTATCGTGATCTTGAACGTGATCGTGATCGTGAACGCTAACCAGGCTTTTTACTCGTCCCGCCCATAGGTAACATCTCGTCACTTTCAATTGCACGCGCTGTTTAACCATCCTAATTAGGCAACTCCTTTTTTGAAGCCACAGATACTGTATCTAATCATTAATGTCATGAATGTCTCTTCGTTTGTCTTGGAAATAAAAGCAAAGTGCTGTAATTGTCAAATGATTTCCCTTCCACGTATCTTTGGCGATAAATTGTGTATGACCATCTTATCTTCAACAAAGAAAAATTATGATACTAATTAACGGCGCTTTGGTGCTTCGACACCATCAGCATGCGGAAAAGCGAGCACATTTTTCCAAATGATCTTTTGATATCGTGTCTCAATATTCGACACTTTGACACCATACAAACTTTATGGATATTTTGCGAATGCCAAGGTCATGCTTGTAAAATTTTCCGTCCCGTGTAACGACGGAAATTGCCCGACGAGATAAGAATTTCTTTGTTGAAAACCCTTCATTAAATGTAGCATTTCAGCCGATACATTGAAGATTCAAATATTACATATTACAGACTGGATGATTACGTTACGTGCAGAACATACGATTTTCTCTTATCAAAAACCTGTCACTTTTAGCTTTATGCTCGAATGGTGTTACAACGTAATTTAAAATGCTGAAACTGAAATCTGGGTGATCATGAATTTCAAATTTCATTGGTGCATAATGAGAGTGAGATAATTGATGACCATTCGCTAAAGTCCGAAACAAAGATTTTTTTTGGTCGTTGTCTCGACCTTCTTGTGATTCACACAATTACATTGATTAAAAAGATCCGGGTATTTGTCACTGATAGTTCTAGAGATACAGAAAATATTGAGGTCAATTTTCGCACGGGTTATTCACAATGTGTTCAGTTTCAAGTTTAAAATTGAAGATGTGTATCACAACAATGAGGCGTTTTACAAAAGCTTTCCTTTTTTTTATTAATGAATTAGTGATCTGGATTTAAAATTTTCGTCGTTTATTTTGATGTGATCAATTAAATTGATATTATGTGTGCTGTCATTGAATCTGGGCCGTTCGGCTCGATCGGAATGTCAAGAGGTTCTTTGTTAACGCTTATGAAAATAATCAACAGTTATAATAAATTGTGCTTTAAAAAATCACGGGTCATTACGATTTTGAAACGCATGATCAAATATTTATGTCATTTTTTTTTTAATAAAAAAATAATGATCACACGAATCTACCAAGTTGACGAATATCGAAATTATGATGTAAAGTGTGAAGAAAAACTCTGTCGTCAACTAAATCTTTGCTTGTTAAGGCGATATTTGATTATCTACCGCATTCCTATCAATGATATTTATCTTTCCATGCAACGCTAATTAAATAACATCTTTTATTACATTATAATCTAGCCTAGTTACTTCTTCATCATAAAGCTATATTGAGTTAACATCAATCACATCCAACATAATAACAATAATACCACACCGCATGATATTATGAGTCATTTTCATACACACGTCGAAAATTATCATTGATAGAAAACAACTATATTTTGTATTGCTGATTTTTTTTAAAAAAGAAAAAAAATTATATATATATATATATATATATATATAATAAATCCCAAATTTAATTTTTATCACATCTTGAATCAGGAATTATTTTATAAAAGATAAATAATTAAATTAAATTAAAAATTTTTCTGTAACTTGGATTTATATTAAATAAAAATAAAAACATTTTTGTTATCAAATCCATCTTATTTATTGATCAAGTTAAATTATCTATACAAGTTTATATCAAATGAATAAGTTTGTAAAAATAATAGTTAATAGTTAATATCTACAGTATTTAAAATAATAAAATTATTATTAAAATAAATAATGTAATTGTTAATGTAATTATTTAGAATTTGTAACATATTTATTATTTTTATTTATATTGTTAATATTTGTATTATTGGTTTTTTTTTTGTTTTTTTTATGATTTTAAACATATAATTATTGTAAAATTTTATATACTAAATGATTTTGAAACTCATTTTAAGATTATTATTAATAAATATTAATTTTAAAAAAAAATCCTTTTTTTTTTATAAAATAAATTCTTGTTTTGACTAAAATTCATATAATTATAAATATTGTCATCACCTTTTCATTAATGATAAAAAATATTACTTGATTGTAATTATTTTGTTATCAAAATATTTTAGTGCATTGAATTTTTTTGAAATTGTTATGAATAATATAAAATAAATTGTTGTAAAAATTAAATAAAAAATATTTTTTTAATAAATTTTATTAATATATTACTATAAATATCACTGATTAATAATATAGGTGTTAACAAGAATATTTATAATAATAACCTACAACATGACATGACAAATATATATTGTATATTAAGAATTTGAAATTAAAAAACAAAATTTGAAAATAGAAATTAATTATTTAGCATATGTATATTAAATCTATAATCTTTAAAATATATACTGAATCTCAAATATCAAGTCTATAGCATATATTTATTTTATAGTATACTGTATATATATTATATATTATAGGTTAGATATTGTTTATAACATTTGTATAGTTTATTTGGTCCTTTTATTCTTTTAATTTTATTTATCTATAATTAAAAACATGTACAGTACTGTATATAAGTAATGTAAATGCTAAAATTATAAATAAAATTAGAAATAAAAACTCTTTCCGCTGATCCTTTTGCCAACCCAAAAAACAGACGTTCTCAAAAAACTTTTTGTTTTTATGATAAT